TGCTTATTTATTTATTTTTGCTCTCCATTTGGTTGGTAGGTTTTTTTTTTTTCCAACCCTTTATTTTGAGTCTATGTATATCTTTGGATATACCGTTAGATTTTGTCTGTATCTTTTGATTGGGAGATTTGGTCGATTTGAAATTTAGGGTTGCTGCCGTTTGATATTAACTGGCTATTTTGTCCTTTCATTGATAAAAATTCTTCTTTATGTTAATGCTCTTTACTTTTTGGTGTATTTTTAGAAAGGGTCATATTGGTTGTTCCTTTCTGTGTATAGTGCTTCTTTTAGAAGTTCTTGTAAAGCAGGCCTGGTGGTAATAAAATCTCTGAGTACTTGCTTGTCCCTAAAAAATTTTATTTTTCCTTCAAATGTAAAGCTTAAATTGGCAGGATATGAAATTCTGGGCTGAAAGTTCTGTTCTTTAAGTATATTGAATATTGGCCCCCACTCTCTTCTAGCTTGTAGGGTTTCCGTTGAGAGATCTGCTGTAAGCCTAATAGGCTTACCTTTATGGGTAACTTGATCTTTCTCTCTGGCTGCCCTTAATATTTTCTCCTTCGTTTCGATCTTGGTGAATCTAACGATTATGTGCCTTGGGGTTGGTCTTCTTGAGGAATATCTTTGTGGTGTTCTCTGTATTGCCTGGGGTTGAATAGTGTCCTGCTTTGCTAAATTAGGAAAATTTTCCTGGATAATGTCCTGGAGAGTATTTTCTAGCTTGAATTCATTCTCTCCATCACATTCAGGCACACCAATCAAGCATATATTAGGTCTTTTCACATAGTCCCATATTGCTTGGAGACTTTGCTCATTCCTTTTTATCCTTTTTTCTCTATTCTTGTCTTGTTGTGTTGTTTCATTAAGTTGATCTTCAATCTCTGATACCCTTTCTTCTGCTTGATCCATTCGGCTGTTTAAGCTTGTACATGTTTCACTAAGTTCTCGTGTTGTATTTTTCCACTCCATAAGTTCATTTGTATTCCTCTCTATATTGTCTATTCTTTTCAACATTTCATCTAACCTTTTTTCCAAGTTCTTAGTTTCTTTACATTGGGTTAGAACAAGTTCCTTTAACTCCCAGAAGTTTCTTATCATCCACCTTTTAAAGCCTACTTCAGATAATGGAACACAGTCCTTTTCCATCAGGGCTTGTTCCGTTACTGATGAGTCCTTTTCCATCAGGGCTTGTTCGGTTGCTGATGAGTCCTTTTCCATCAGGGCTTGTTCTGTTGCTGATGGGTTCTGATTTTGAGTATACTCGGCCTTCTTAGGCTGTTTTTTTCCCTTCATTGTAGATGAACCGCCTTTCTAATTAGTTTTCTGAGTCGACGTCCGACTTATTGATTCCCAGTGTTGGGATCCGAGCAACCCACTGTGGCAGCCTAAATAGCAGCGATAAGACTGATGGTGCTCTTCTGCCCGGGAATCTCTGGTCTGGCTTCCTTCTTGAGTCCGCAACAAGCGGCTCTGGCTTCCCGGAGCTCCAAACCCCGGTGAGTAGGGGAAGCAGTCCCGTTGGCTCTGCATGAAGAGCTGCTGCGCCGAGACGCTGGCAAAACCGCTGCGGCGGCCACAAGAGTCGCGCTGGCGACCCGTGGGGCTCCTCCACTGGGAATCGGCTGATCGGTGAGTGACGAAAATTCGTCTAAAAGTGTGGCGTCGTCTCGTTCTCTGGGCTTTCACTGGGAGCTACAATCCTGAGCTGTTAGTGGTCGGCCATCTTGGATCGATCTCCTGGTATCGGAGGGCAGATCATCTGAGGTCAGGAGTTTTAGACCAGCTGAGCTAACGTGGTGAAACCCTACCTTTACTACAAATACAAAATTTAACTGGACACGGTGGCAGATACCTGTAGTCTCAGCTACTTGGGAGGTTAAGGCAGGAGAATCACTGGAACCCAGAAGGTGGAGGCTCCAGGGAGCAGAGATCACGCCACTGCACTCCAGCCTGGGTGACAGAGCGAGACTCCATCTCAAAAAAAAAAAAGTGGGGGAGACATCCAAGATGGCCGATCGCTAACATCCTGGGATTGCAGCTCTCAGTGAAGGCGCGGAGAACTAGAGGATGCCACACTTTCAGACAAATTCTGGTCGCTCACAGAGCAGAAGATCCCCAGTGGAGGAAACACACAGGTCGCAAGCACGACTCTCGTGGCCAGCGCAGCAGTTCCGCTGGCACCTCGGCGTGGCAGCTCTTGGAGCAGAGTAAACAGGTTTGGAGGACCCGCACAGGCCCCCAGCACAACACCAGAGCCCGGAGCAGCGGCTGTGACGGCACCTCAGCGCGGCGCTCGGCGCAGAGTAAACGGGACCGATTCCCCTTCTGACCGAGGTTTGGAGCCCTGGGAAGGCAGAGTCACCTACTACAGACACAAGAAGGAAGCCAGACAGGAGAATCCTGGGCAGAAAAGCACCATCAGTTTTAACGCCGCTGCTCTGGCCCTGGGAACTAACAACCCGGACGCCCACTCAAGAGACCTAATCTGAAAGTTGGTAAATTCAAAGATGACAGGAGGATAAATTTACAATGACGGGAAGAAACCAGCGTAAAAAAGCTGAGAATACTCAAAGTCAGAATGCCTCTCCCTCTAAAGATGATCACAGTTCCACATCGACAATGGAACAAGGCTTGATGGAGAACGAGCGCATCCCAATGACAGAATCACTCTTCAAGGAAAGGATAATAACAAACTTCGGTGAGTTAAAAGAACATGTTGTAGCCCAACATAAAGAAACTAGGAACTTTGAAAAAAGGTTTGATGAAATCCTATTGAGAATAGACAACTTAGAGAGGAGTATGAGTGAATTAATGGAACTGAAGAATACAATACAGGAACTCCGAGAAGTATGCACAGGTTTAAACACTCGAATTGTTCAAGCAAAAGAAGGGATATCAGAGGTCAAAGTCCAACTTAATGAAATAAAATGTGAAGAAAAGATTAGAGAAAAAAGGATAAAAAGGAATGAGCAAAGTCTCCAAGAAATGTGGGACTATGTGAAAAGACCAAATTTACGTTTGATAGGTGTACCTGAATGCAACGGAGAGAATGAATCCAAGCTGGAAAATACCCTTCAGGATATTATTCAGGAAAATTTTCCTAAACTAGCAAAGCAGGTCAATATTCAACCCCAGGTAATACAGAGAACACCACAAAGATATTCCTCAAGAAGAGCAACCCCAAGGCACATAATCATTAGATTCACCAGGGTTGAAACGAAGGAGAAAATACTAAGGGCAGCCAGAGAGAAAGGTCAGGTTACCCACAAAGGCAAGCCTATCAGACTTACAGCAGATCTCTCAGCAGAAACTCTACAAGCCAGAAGAGAGTGGGGGCCAATATTCAACATCCTCAAAGAACAGAACCTTCAGCCCAGAATTTCATTTCCAGCCAAACTAAACTTCACAACTGAAGGAAAAATAAAATCTTTTATGAACAAGCAAGAACTCAGAGATTTTATTACCACCAGGCCTGCTTTACAAGACCTTCTGAAAGAAGCATTACACACAGAAAGAAACAACCAGTAGTAGCCTTTCTAAAAATATACCAAAAAGTAAAGAGCACCAACATAAAGAAGAATTTACACCAACGAATGGATAAAACAGCCAGTCAACATCAAATGGCAGTAACCCTAAATTTAAATCAGCTAAATCCCCCAGTCAAAAGACCCAGCCAAAACCCAACGGCATGTTACATCCAGACCTGTTTCACATGCAAGGATACACAAAGACTCAAAACAAAGGGATGGAGAAAGATTTACCAACCAAATGGAGAGCAAAAATAAATAATAAATAAATAAAAAGCAGGAGTTGCAAATCTCATATCGGATAAAATAGATTTTAAAGCAACAAAGATAGAGTGGTAAAAGGATCAATGCAACAACAAGAGCTAACGATCCTAACACCCAGATACATAAAGACTTAGACTCAATGAGACAGAAAATTAATAAGGATATCAAGGACTCGAACTCAGATCCAGAACAAGTAAACTTAATAAATATTTATAGAGCTCCCCACTTCAAATACACAAAATATACATTCTTGTCAATACCACATCACACCTACTCATAAGTTTAAATGAAACATTGATTGGCCATTATTAATACCCAATTTTTTTCAGAATAAAGCAATATTTTCGTTTACTCTCCCTCTTTCTCTTCCTCTTTCTTCCTCTCCTTTACTTATTTTTTTTCTTTCCTTCTCTCAAAAAAAGAAATCAACTTGTAAACCTCTAGATCCAGGTCGGCAATGTCTCTCTCATTGCTTGATTTCCTTCCTTCCCTTCCCTCCCTCCCTCCCTCCCTCCCTCCTTCTTCCCTTCCTTCCTTCCTTCATCCCTTCCTTCCCCCCTACAGTCCTCCTTCCCTCCCTTCCTGCCTTCCTCCCAAAAAAAAAAGAAAAATATTCTAGATTCCCTATTAAAAAAAAGAAAAGTAAATGTATTAAGTGGCCAACACATATTTGAAAATATGCTCAACCTTGCTCATTAGAAGAGTGAAAACTAAAACAATAATGTACCATTTTCACACATCTCCTATCAGATTGGAAAAAAATAAAATAATGCTTAGTACTGATAAGAATATGGAGAAAGATTCAAATATAAATGGATGTGACTTTTTTGAGGAAAATCTTGGAATATCTATTTAAAAATTTAATGCATAAGCCTTTTAAACTATAATTGGTCCTTCTAGGAATTTATGCCGTAGGCACACCCCACCCCAGGTAGATAATAGTACAAGCATGTTCATTACATTCTTACTCATAACAATGAAGAAGCAAAAGCAACCTGCATGTTCATCTACAGGGGCCTTGTTAAATAGGTTTTAAACTATTACAGAATGAATTATTACAAGGTATTGAAAGGTTGAGATAGATCTGTAGGTCCTGAGGTGGGAAGATGTCTAAGAGGAAATAATTGCTGAACAGCATTAGCATAAAACCATTGTATTTCTTTCTTTTTGAGCAGAGTCTGGCTCTGTAGTCAGGCTGGAGTGCAGTGGTGCAATCTCAGTTCACTGCAACCTCCAACTCCTTGGTTCAAGCGATTCTTCTGCCTCAGCCTCCTGAGTAGCTGTGATTACAGGTGCGTGCCACCATGCCCAGTTAATTTTTGTATTTTTAGTAGAGATGGGGTTTCTCCATGTTGGCCAGGATGGTCTCCATCTCCTGACCTTGTGATCCACCCACCTTGGCCTCCTAAAGTGCTGGGATTATAGGCATAAACCACCACACCCAGCCAAAACCATTGTTTTTCTAAAACATGTTTGTATTTATGCATATTGTGTGTTAATTCCTCTGTGCCTCAGTTTTCTCATCTGTAAAATAGGCATCATGATGGTACCTACCTCAGAACTTGTTGCAAGGGTATAAACTGAGATAACATAAGTAGAGTGCTTAGTACGGTGACTGACACATAGTGCTATGTGTTGGCAATTATTATTATTATTATTGTATAGGCAGTATCAGAAAGTTTATACTACAGACTTTGACAGAGATTACCTTTGAGTAGTAGAATTGGCTTGAGGGGACAGCAGGCAAGAGCTGGCAGAGACTTCTACTTCTTACATTGTGTATTTCCCTATAATTGTTTGTATGGAGGAGGCCCATCCTTGACCAGTCACTGACCAAGGAGCCTAGACAGTGAAGGAAATGGCATTCTGGTTCGGTATGCTTGTTGAGGCCTGCAGAAGAAGGTTTTTATGGTAAGGAGGAGGGTGAGGAAGGGTGGTGCTGCGGGGAGATGGGAAGGATGTTCGTGGATTCCATCATGACTGCTGGTTTTTTTTGAAAACCACTGACCTAATTAAAGATTTAAAAAATTCACATTGCACAAGAACCTTACAAAGGCTAGCATGTATTTGGGCTTATCCTTTTTATAATCCACTAAGTTATATTTATACTACAAAAGTGATTTGTGTTTAATTTGACTTTTGAATAAAAACTACAGAAAGTAATTTGGCAAAGTGCTCAAAACAAACACTTAAAAAGACACAGGTAGTTTTTCTAATAATTATGAAATTAAAATGTTGATATTTTAAAGACACAATTTCTCTTCAATTAATGTTACTACTTCCATTACATAATGATGAGCAATTTCTGTTTATTTTGAGACAGATTTTCACTCTTGTTGCCCAGGCTGAAACGCAGTAGCACGACCTCGGCTTACTGCAACCTCTGCCTCCTGGATTCAAGCAATTCTCTTGACTCTGCCTTCCAAGTAGCTGGGACTACAGGTGCACACCATCGTGCTCAGCTAATTTTTGTATTTTTAGTAGAGATAGGGTTTTGCCATGTTGGCCAGGCTGCCGTCGAACTCCTGACCTTAGGTAAACCACCTGCCTCGGCCTCCCAAAGTGCTGGGATTGATTACAGGCGTGAGTCACTGTGCCAGACCAGCAATGTTTTAAATAATAAGAGCAACTTTCATGCTAAAAAACAGGTGAAGCAAATGTAACATTTTTGAATTATTATTATTTTTTGAGACTGTTTCACTCTGTTGCCCAGGCTGGAATGCAGTGACGCCATCACTGCTCACTGCAGCCTCAGTCTTCCACCTCAGCCTCTCAAGTAGCTGGGACCACAAGTGCCCACCACCATACCTGGATAATTTTTAAGTTTATTGTAGAAGTGGAGTCTCACCATCATGCCCAGGCTGATCTTGAACTCTGGGCTCAAGCTATCTTCCTGCCTTAGCCTCCCAAAATGTTGGGATTACAGGTGTGAGCCATTGTGCCTGGCCATGAATTATTTTTAATCACATCCTTATTGACATAAGCCTTGTTAAGTCAATATGACACACAAAATAAGCTAAACCCAAATATGAGTTTTATTAACTGAACCTTTAGAATAATTTTTATTGAATGCATCTTAGCCTCTGAAGCATGCAAAGACCAAGATCTGCCTCTGACTTCAAGCAGACTGTTTTATGTTTATTGTCTCCTTAGTTTAAAACAACCCTGTAAGGCAGGTTTATCACCTTCCTTTTACAAAGAAGGAAAGTAAAGTACATAGAGGTTGCCATACATCTGGTAAGCACTGGAATGGGAATTGGAACCATCTAGTGTTTTCATTCTACTCCCGTGCCTCCAGAGAGTCATGGGGTAAGGGTGGGCAAGGTGAGCCCTGTTGGGGGCCACATGAGAATTCTCAGGGACCTCAGTGATCATCTGTCATCTAGTCTAGTGGCTTTCAAGCCATCATTTTAAAAATTATAAACAGTTTTATTGAAAAATGATTTATGCCAGGCACAGTTGGGCAGATCATGAGGTCAAGAGTTCAAGACCAGCCTGGCCAACATGGTGGAACATCGTCTCTACTAAGAATACAAAAATTAGCCAGGCATGGTGGCATGTGCCTGTAATCCCAGCTATTCGGGAGGCTGAGGCAGGAGAATTGCTTGAACCTGGGAGGCGGAGATTGCAGTGAGTTGAAATCATGCCACTGTACTCCAGCCTGGGCAACAGAGCAAGACTCTGTCTTGAAAAAAAAAAAAAAGAAAAATGATTTGTATACCATACAATTCACCTATTCAAATTGTGCAGTTCAGTGGTTTTAATATGGTCACACAGTTGTGCAGCCATCACCATAATCAATTTTACAACACTTTTATCACCTTCCAGAGAAAACTCATACCTATCAGCTGTCAGTTCCTTGTCTTCATACTGCCAGTCCCAGGCAACCACTAATTCTCTTTCTGTCTCAATTCTCCTGCCTCAGCCTCCCGAGTAGCTGGGATTACAGGCACGTGCCACCATGCCTGCCTAATTTTTGTATTCTTAGAATTTGCCTATTCTGGACCATTCATATAAATGGAATCATACAGTAAATGGTCTTTTGTGACTGGCTCCTATTACTTAGCTTAATATTTTCAAGATTCAGCCATGTTGTAGTATGCGTCAGGACTACATTACTCTTTATAGCTGAATAATATTCCCTTGTATGGATATACCACATTTTGTTTATCCTTTCATCAGTTGATGAACATTTGTGTACAAGTTTCCGTGTGGACGTGTGTTTTCATTTCTCTTGAGTATCTATATACACACGTAGGAATGGAATTGTTGGATCTCATGGTAACTCTGTTTAATCTTTTGAGGAACCACCAGACTGTTTTCCAAAGTGGCTGCACCATTTTATGTGCCTACCAGCAGTGTTTTTGTGTTCTAGTTTCTCCACATCCTTGCCAACATTTGTCAAACTATAATTCTTTTAACTATACCCCACAATAAGAAATATTTTACATTCTTACTTAGTGAATTCTTACACATGCAAATAACTGAAACAAAAACTTAAAAAAAAATTTACCTGTACTGTGAACTCTGACATTTTCGATTGCATTCTGTTCTTTTTCATCAAAACAAACATGTTGGTTCTGACCACTAAACTTGCTTTCACAACTCACTAATTGTGATCTGCAGCTAGAAAAACACTAGGCTATTTTAACTCCTTCGTTTTACACCAGAGGAAAGAGAGACCCAGGGAACTGGCTTGTTCATGGTCATACCACTAATTAGTGGCAGATTCAAGATTAGAGTGCAAGCCCGTTGGCTCCCTGCTTTACTTTGACCTCTCAGTAAATTATAGTTGCCCTCTTATTCAGTAAATAAAAATAAAATAGAATTTCTGTTTTTTAACCTTCTTATCTTTCTTAAGCAGCATTTTAAATTTAGCAACAAACCTGGCTAGAGAAAAAAAGAATGAGAATAACTAAATTTTATTATGATGAGTCTTGCTCCAACACAATGATTTTGTGCCGACTGGACAGAAAAGTACTGGGTGAACGTAGATAATGGGCATCAAATTAGGCAGATTGAATTAATCACTGCAGTGTCTCAAGTTCATTTTTGTCCCAACCTCAGTATACTTTTAAAGAGCAGCCATAGCCAGGCACGGTGGCTCATGCCTGTAGTCCCAGCACTTTGGGAGGCTGAGGTGAGCAGATCACAAGGTCAGGAGTTCAAGACCAGCCTGACAAACATGGAGAAACCCCATCTCTACTAAAAATACAAAATTAGCCAGGCGTGGTGGTGCATGCCTGTAGTCCCAGCTACTTGGGAGGCTGAGGCAGGGGAATCACTTGAATCCCGGAGGCAGTGGTTGCAGTGAGCTGAGATCATGCCATTGCACTCCAGCCTAGGCAACAAGTGAAACTCCACCCCACTGCCCCCAAAAAAAGAGCAGCCATTTTCCTTACACTGTCAAATTTGAATGGCAACATAAAATTGAAGTGGGCAATATAAAAATATTTTGTGTTGCTCTTTTCATTTTTCTTAGAATACCACATAGGTCTTAAACCCTTTACTTACTTATTTTCAAGACGGAGTCTTGCTCTGTTGCCTAGGCTGGAGTGCAATGGTGTGATCATGGCTCACTGCAGCCTTTTCCTCCTGGGCTTAAGTGATCCTCCTGCTTCAGCCAAGTAGCTAGGATTACAGGCATGCATCACCATGCCCAGCTAATTTTTAATTAATTTTTTTTGACAGAGAACAGGTCTTGCCATGTTGCCTAGGCTGGTCTGGAACTTCTGGTCTCAAGTGGTCCTCTCTCCCCAGCCTCCCAAAGTGCTGAGATTACAGGCATGGGCCACTGTGCCCTGCCTTAAACACTTTAATTCAGTTTTCCAACATTTTATGAGGGAACCTCTGACACTAGAGTTGCTTCAAGGTTCTTATTAAAATGTGGGTCTTTTGAGCCCTTCTCCAGACCTAATGAATCAGAATCATGGGATGGGACCTGAAAATCAGTATTGTATACAAGTTTCCTAAGTGATTCTATGTATATTTAGGAACATAGTGACGAACTGAATTAAATTTTTCCCTTTATTTCTCATCTTTCTTTCCTTTTTTTTTTTTGAGACAAAGTCTCACTCAGTCACCCAGGCTGAAGTGCAGTGGCACAATATTGGCTCACTGCAACTTCCACCTCCCTGGTTCAAGCAATTCCCCTGCCTCAGTGGCCTCCCAAGTAGTTGAGATTATAGGCACCACCATGCCCGGCTAATTTTTTTGTATTTTTAGTAGAGATGGGGTTTCACCATGTTGGCCAAGCTGTTCTCGACTCCTGATCTCAGGCAATCCACCCGCCTTAGCCTCCCAAAGTGTTGGGATTACAGGCGTTAGCCACCATGCCTGATCCAGTCCTGGAATTTCTCCTGCATGCTGGATAGTTTCATATGTCCAATATGCAACACAGCACAACCCAAATCATATGTATTATCCTTTCTTAACCTCTACTCCTCAAATTAAGTTCTTTTAATTACAAATCATTTTTCTACAAAGAATTGGTATATGAATTTTTGCTTACATCAAATAAAATAACATAACATGGAACATAGTATAATATAACAAAATGTACACAAGGTTTGAAGTTAAAAAGATAACTTACAGGTTCTCACTTGGCCTCTAATTGTTGTGACATGTGCAAATTTCTTTACTTCTCTGAGGCATATACCATCACTTACCTTAGCTAGTCAAAAATTCTATATAAAATGCCTAACACAGGGACACGTCATGGAAAGAAAACCCCAAGAGGCTAAGGGCATGAGGCATGGATTAGAATCTAGCTGTTGAGATCTCCCACCACTAAGTAGCTGAGTGATCTTGGGCAACTTATTAAACTCTGAGTTTCCTCATCTATAGGTTGAGGATAAAATAACTTACTTCATTGTGGCGAGAATTAAACAAGGTCTTAAGTGTCAAGTATGTACAACTCTACCTAGCGCCCAATAAGAGCTTAAGAAGTCATTTATTTACTATCAATAAATGCTAATTTACCCCTTTCCCTGCTTTGTCTTTGTCTTTTGCTCTTCTGACATCTAGTATGTCGCTTCCTAAATAGAAGGAACTCTATAAATACACCTTGAATAAAATTGCACAAAGTTTTGCACATACGGACTTTGCCCAAGCTTTTTCTCACATCTTTAGGTAGGCCCAAGTTATTTCTTGATGCAAGCCATCCTCTGAGCACATGACTCTTCCTGAACATACTGCTACGCTCTGTCTGAAAATGCCCGAGCCTCCCTGGCCTTATGCTCCCTGGCACCTTATGGGTGCCAGGTTAGGTGACACTTTGATCCAGATGCCTTCCCTGACCCCTCAAGCTTGGGCTAAAAGGTTCCTTTTAAGTTCTGAAAGTATTAGACCTACCTCTACCTGATCACATGTAGTTGAGCCAGGCGTGGTGGTGTGCACCTGTAATCCCAGCTACTTGGGAGGCTGAGGCAGGAGAATCACTTGAACCCAGGTGGAAGTTGCAGTAAGCCAAGATTGCGCCATTGTACTCCAGCCTGGGCAACAAGAGTGAAACTCCATCTCAAAAAAAAAAAAAAGGAAAAGAAACTCTAGGACTGGAAGTCAGGAAAGTTAGGGCTTATGATCCACCTTTAGGAATCATCTGGCTTTTGATGAGTTGAGAGTAAGTGAGCTCACTTAGAGACGGGAGAGAAACTGACCCTTTATTGATTCCTTGGAGTAAGAGAGTGAAGGTAGCAAAAGAAGATTCTAGGAGAAAATAGAAAAATGGAATTGCTTCTCAATTATGCAACCTCATTTTTGTTGCTCTTGCTCTCAGTCTTAGTGTTTTCGAAGGCACAAAATATCCTTGCAAGGAGATGAAGAGATTAAATATTATTGAAGTGAGTCTGTCCTGTTGCAAACATTTACATTCTTGTTGACCCCCGGGAATTTGGTCAATGTTACAATTGTCCTATTGTCTAGATTCATGTTTCTACACATACCTGGCTGAAGCTCTTCCAAGAACAGTAGCAATGATTATTCTCACATGCCTGCAGACTTGTCTATCATCATGTTTCTGAATAATAGAGTAGTGAGCTTTTTATGTATAACATTTGATGCTACTTAGTGGTTCCATTTTTTTATATTGTGAGTTTATATAAGAGTTTGAATAAGCTAAAATTACTGGGTAATTCACAGATCTGAAAAATATATGCTTTCTCAATAACTGTCTTGGGACTGCATGATAAGCATTCAGTTTCTGTACTAATTGTGTTTTAGATAAAATTTAAAGCTATGTGCAATTTTATGGAAGACATATTTATAGAGTTCTTTCCATTTATAAAGCAATATATGAAATACCAGATGTTGGAAGGATGAAAGACAAAGTAGATCTGTTCTCTGACTTCAGGTATCTTGCTATTGAGTAGGAATTATAAAATTATGGTAAGTCAGGGGAAGTGACTGATTAGGAATTATGCTGATTAGGAATAGGGCTAGGGCAGTTTGGAAAAGGGCTATGTGTAGTCATTCACTTGAGTCTTTAGAGGTGAATATGTTGAGCAGGGGACAACATTTCAAATGGAGTGAAAAAATATATCCTGTATCATGGGAGGAGAAGCTGATTATGGCATAATTAGAGATTCTAGATCTCCTGTCAGAAATCAAAGTATTTAAGTGGTTAGGCTTTTTACTATCAGAGAAAGAAGTTACAAATAAGCCAAGAGGGAATACTAGAATAAACCTTGTGATGCTGGATTGGAGTCAGAACTATCAGATGAATTTGTAGTTTATAAAATATGTATAGGTAGATATAGAGCTAATTAAAGAAATGTGTGTATAGGCCAGGTGTGGTGGCTCACACCTATAAGACCAGCACTTTGAGAGGCTGAGGCGTGAACATCCCTTGGGCCCAGGAATTCAACACCAGCTCCCTGGACAATATGGGGAGACTGTCTCTACAAAAAAAAAATTAAAATATTAGCCAGGCATGGTGGTTTGTGTCTAGTCCCAGCTACTTGCAGGCTGAGGTGAGAGGATCACTTGGGCTTGGGAGACAGGTTGCAGTGAGCTGTGATTGCACCACTGTGCTCCAGCCTGGGTGACAGAGTAAGACCCTGTCTCAAAAACAAAAACAAAAGGTGTGTATACATGGGTCAGTATACAAACATATAATTCAGAGAGCCTAGAAGCAGTGACATCTCAGTGGCAATGAGCATAACTAGTAGTGCCCAGATGTGAACTTCTTCCATAAAAGAAAATAGGGCTCCTTGGGGAAATAGTTGATCCTAGGGCTGAAGCATGGCAAATAGAAGATGAGCCTGGAACATCTTATAATACTAGAAAGTAAGGAAGTGCAAAAAAAAAACAGAGGACAAGTTGAGAGAACACTGGAGCCAAGCTGAAAAGCTCCAAATGGCCAGAGCTGGAACAATTTGAGCAACAAAATAAAGATAGTATTGGATTATAACACAGGGAATACAATAAATATCTATGAAACCATACTAATATAAATAAATGGTTGGGCCGAACATGGTGGCTCATGCCTATAATCCTAGCACTTTAGGGGGCTGGAGCAAGATCATCTGAGCTTGAGTTTGAGACCAGCCTGGACAACATAGGGAGACTTCATTTCTATTGTAAAACATAATGATAATTAAATGGTTGACTAAATGAGGGAGAAAGAACAAATCTTCCTTATAGAAGAATTTCAATTAACAAATGTAGAAACGATGAGACTAACAGAAAATCACCATTAGAATACCAGTAATCATTACCGTAATCACCGTTAGAATACCAGTAATAATTGCCATAAGCAAGACCCACCCATGAAAGCTAAAACTAATGAGAACAAGTTTAAGAAGAAACAGAGTCAAAGTCCTCCCTCATAGCTGGGCGTGGTGTCCCACATCTGTAATCACAGCACTTTGGGAGGCTGAGGTGGGCAGATCACCTGAGATCAGGAGTTTGAGACCAGCCTGACCACTATGATGAAACCCCATCTCCACTAAATACAAAAAATTAGCTGGATGTGCTGATGCCTGTCTATAATCCCAGATACTCTGGAGGCTGAGGCAGGGGAATCACTTGAACCTGGGAGGCAGAGGTTCAGTGAGCTGAGATTGAGCCATACACTCTAGCCTGGGCAAGAAAAGAGAAACTACATCTAAAAAAAAAAAAGGTTCTCCCTCATCATTATGAATTACAAAGGGAAAACAAATAATAACTTTACAGAGGAGAAACCTGACAGATACCACGTTAACCATGTGATCAAGGGTAATGTCATGAGTTATTAGATGTCACATCAACATCCTGTACCCTCTGATATGATGCACTGTGAAGGCCACATCAGCTCTGAATTATTCCTTTCAAAAATGTATAGCCTTGAGCGGGTGGCTGAGTTCTCCATTGCCCTTGGTCGCAGGGTCACTGTTGGCACTGGGCCTGCAGCGATCACAGTGAACTTACTTCAGATTGTGTGGGACAACTGGGTTCATGTTCTTGTCCCTATGGGATTTGTTGTTGGATGTTATTTAGACAGAAAGAGTGATGAAAAGCTAACTGTCTTCCAGAACAAGAGTACATTATTTAAAAGGGAATCGCGACCCAGTGAAGAAGTGACCTGGAAGTAAAGACTGGCTGAATTATAGAGTGTTCCCATTTTAAAGTTCTTAGAGAAATAAAAATGTGTTATTACTGAAAAAAAAAAGTATAGCCCCAATCTAATCCGAGAAAACATGATGTTATTTAAAAACTTTTTTTTTTTTTTTTTTTGAGTATTGCAAGATGTTCCAGGCTGATCTTGTATTAGTCCTACCCCAGCTCTGGAATCAACCACTTCTCCAAGGAGCCTTGATTCTATTTTATTGGATAAATCAAGAAGCCCAAATTGAGGAACATTCTACATAATACCTGACCAGTACTTTCAACAATGTCAAGGTCATGTATGACAAGGAAAAGCAGAGCAACTGTCATAGATTGGAGGAGACTTCAGAAGACATGACAACTAAATGCAGTGTATGATCCTGAAACGGAAATAAGACATTATTGGAAAAACTGGTGGAAATTCAATAAAGTCTATAGTTAATAGTATTGTACCAGTGCTCATTTCTTAGTTTTGATAATTGTACCATGGTAATATAAGGTAAAGCTAGGTGAAATGTATATGGGAACTCTTGTACTGTTTTTGCAACTCTTATGTATGAAATTGTTTCAGAATAAAAGGTGAGTGCTCACTTCAGTCATACATATACAAAAGTTGAAATGATACAGAGATTAGCATGGTCCCTGTATGAGGTTAACACACAAATTTGTGAAGCATTCCATGTTTAAAAAAAAAGTTAAAGAACTATTAACTTCCAAAAATTTTTCAAGAATATGAATTTAGTCACTATTTTGTACAGAAATATAAACTTAGAAATAAATGTAATTTTCAGAAAAAACATTATGTAGCAACATATTTCATGCTGCTTTTATTTAAAATTCCTCTTTGCTACTTGAAGTTTTTTAGTTTTATTTTATTTTATTTTAATTGCTCCCTTTACCTGATGACATTCAAATTGGGAAGAGTTGTTGGTAGAAAAACTTTAAAACTCTACAATCTATTTCTTTTTTTTTTTTTTTGAGACAGTCTCACTCTGTCGCCTAGGCTGGAATGCAGTGGTGCGATCTCGGCTTACTGCAACCTCAGTCTCCCGGGTTCAAGCGATTCATTCTCCTGCCTCAGCCTCCCAAGTAGCTGAGATTATAGATATGCACCAGCACACCCAGCTAATTTTTTGTATTTAGTAGAGACGAGGTTTCACCATATTGGTCAGGCTGGTCTCAAACTCCTAATCTCAGGTGATCCACCCGCCTCAGCCTCCCAAAATTCTGGGATTACAGATGTGAGCCACTATGCACAGCCAACAATCTATTACTTAAAAATAATGTTTTTTCCTCCTTTCCCCTCCCCTCTCTAACAGGATCTGGCTCTATAGTGCAGACTGGGTCCGGTGTGATCATGGCTCACTGCAACCTTAACCTCCAAGGCTCAAGCAATCCTCCCACCTCAGCCCCCTGAGTAGATGGTACTGCAGACACACCACCATGCCCGGATAATTTTCTGTATTTTTTTTTGGTAGGGATAGGGTTTCACCATGTTGCTCCGGCTAATCTCAAACTCCAGAGCTCAAACAGTCTGCCTGCCTCAGCCTCCCCAAGTGCTGGGATTACAAGTGTGAGCCAGCACCCGTGGCCCATTTTTTATTCTTAAGCAAGTTTGCAGTTTCTTTGTTCTAATTTTTTGAGGCTACGTTCAGGAAGCCATACTGCTTGAACAACTAACCATCTCAGGAGTGAAAAAAGAGAGGAGGAGGTCACTGAGATTGGATATATAAGAACAGAATTTTATAAGTGGCTCGGGGAGGGCTGGTTGCAGGGGCAGCTCATTTGTTTTGTTTTGTTTTTTGGGTTTTTTTGTTTGATTTGGTTTGAGACAGAGTCTCGTGCTGTTGCCTAGGCTGGAGTGCAGTGGTGCAATCTTGACTCACTGCAACCTCTGCCTCCCAGGTTCAAGAAATTCTTTTGCCTTAGCCTCCCGAGCAGCTGGGATTACAGGCATGCACCATGATGCCTGGCTAATTTTTGTATTTTGGTAGAGATGGGGTGTTACCATGTTGGCCAGGCTGGTCTCGAACTTGTGAATTTAAGCGATTGACCCACCTCAGCCTCCCAAAGTACTGGGATTATAGGCATGAGCCACTGCGCTCAGCTGTTTTTGTTCCAAGCCTGGTTTCTGAGAGACACTTCCCTTGGTCAGGAGAGTCTATAAGTGAATTTATTAGAACAAGTTTCCTGAAGCAGTTACTGGCCTCCCCCTAAGCCATAGCTTGAGGAAGCAGATACCTGGGCCAGACTTCCCAGTGAGTCACTTTTCAAGGACCTTTGTTCCAGAGATCTTTATCTCCAAGCCACAGCTCACCCTAGGACAGTTTAGGGGCCCATCTCCAGCTACCTGGTTTGATAAAAGAACATTGAACCTGGGAGTTAGAACTCTAGCTCTAATACTAACCAGCTGGTGATTTTGGTAAAATGATTGAACCTTTATGCTTCTCAGTTTCCTCACTGTAAACAAAGGGATTTGGTTACTTTATTTATAAACTACTATCTTGATGAAAAAAATCTACCATTTGTATCTGAAACTGAAGGTATCTTTCTTCTCAACAAACAATTCCCCTTTCCATGTATACCATTTATTTGTCATGCAACTATTCTTCTAGCCTCTGAAGCTAAAAAATCTTAGTGTTTATTTTTGGGTTTTTTTGAGTGTTTTTTAATACTTTTTTTTTTTTTTTAAGATGGGGTTTTGCCATGTTGCCCAGGCTGGTCTTGAACTCCTGAGCTCAGGCAATCCACCCACCTTGGCCTCCCAAAGTGACATGACCCACTGTGCCCAGCCTGTATTTATTTTTGTTATATGTTTAATTTAACTCTTACAGCCAACCATCTTCCAATCCAGCAGTTCTTCTTTCACGGTTGATGTGGTAGTAGAATGCATATGACTGAGGAGAATGGGTTTTGGAGTCTGAAAGTCTGAAAATGGAACTCTTATCTGAGAGAGACTGGGTGGGTGGGGAGAGATAATATACCTTTTTTTTTTCCCCAGATGGCATCTTGCTCTGTTGCCCAGGCTGGAGTGCAGTGGCATTATCTTGGCTTACTGCCTCTGCCTCCCTGGTTCAAGCAATTCTGTTTCAGCCTCCCAAGTAGCTGGGATTATAGGTGCCTGCCAGCACGCCTGGCTAATTATTTGTATTTTTAGTAAAGATGGGTTTTCTCCATGTTGGCCAGGCTAGTTCCAAATTCCTGACCTCAGGTGATCTGCCTGCCTCGGCCCCCCAAAGTGCTGGGATTACAGGTATGAGCCACCGTGCCTGGCCCCAATACCACACCTTTAATGCAGGCCCATAAAAGCCAGATATTTATGATAGAGAGTATTTCAGGTGGGCCCAAGATAACTTTTAAGTTTCCCTGAATGATTATCTCTGATACTCATCACTCTGGGAAGATACTCGCCACCGCCACTATTCTCTTACTGAAAAATAATTTGTATGGGTTTGCAGCTAGGTAGTTTAGGGATTTTTCTACCCAGTATTCTACATTGGCCAAAGGTGGTAGTTTTATTCATTCTTCATTACTTGTAGTTAAAAGAAAATGGACTTTGGAATCAAACAATGAGTTTGAATCCCAGCTCTGCTACTTTATGGCTAAGTGATCATTGTAAAGTTAATATGTCTGAATCTCAATTTTGTCATCATAAATATAAGATAATAAAGCCAATCCTGTAGAGTGGTTGTGAGGATTGAGATATATGCTTTGCATAAAGTAGGTGTCTTAAAATGTTCGTTTCCTTCCAATAGTCGGATTTCTAACTTTAGCTTTGAATTTGTAGTTTCCTGTTGTATATCACTTGGATTTCTCTTGCTGACATGTATATCTCAACATGTGTAAACCAACACTCATCATTTTCCCTCTTCTTTCTAGATTTACTGTCTCTGTTAATGAAATCAACAGCCTTCTAATCATTCAGGTTTGATGATGCCAGCTTTGATTCTCTTTTACCCTAACTTAATTTTATTCTAAGAACTGTCAGTGTCTCTCTTCCCACTTTTCCATTTCCACCTTCCCTAATTTAATGTAAGAATTTATACCTTGGGCTGGGCGCGGTGGCTTACCCCTATAATCCCAGTACTTTGGGAGGCCGAGGTGGGATCATGAAGTCAGGACTTTGAGATCAGCCTGGCCAACATGGTGAAACCCCATCTCTACTAAAAATACAAAAAAAAAAATTAGGTGGGCATGGTGATGCATGTCTGTAATCCCAGCTACTCCAGAGGTTGAGGTAGGAGAATCACTTGAAACCGGAAGGCGGAGGTTGCAGTGAGCCAAGATCACACCACTGCACTCCAGCCTGGCAAAAGAGCAAAACTCCATCACAAAAAAAAAAAGAATTTATACCTTGATTACCTCTCACTGAGTTTTAGGATCTTCCTGACTAATAATTTAGACTCCAGTCTTTTTTTCAGCAGTTGCACACCACTGCTGAATAATCTTTTAAAATAGGATGTTTGTCATGTTACATGCCTTTTCAGAAACTTTTTTTCTTTTTCTGCACCCAATTCTTGCAGATTTTTCAGAAACTTTCTATGTTCCATCAGAGAGACTGTGATTAATCCACTACAGAGATCTTATCTTACAGGTGTGGATATTGAGGCTTCGAATATATTTTTTTTTTTTTTGGTCTAAAAGCCCTGCATATGCTAAGTACCACATTAAGATTAGACCTCATCTCTGATCACTCACAGGTTACTTCTTCCCACTGTTGGAATAGGGCCCAAACTCCTTAGCATGGTTTTCTTGCTAGTCAGGCCCCATTATGTCTTATCTTGTCTATCTTCAACTTCTCTTGCACCTAGAGTTTAACTCACTCCTCAAAGGTGCTAATGCTGTTCTCCTTCCTGAGAAGTATTTTCCTCCTGCTGCCTCACTTTGTTGAAATTCTGCCCATTCCGTAAGTCCCAAGCCATATGATGTCTCTTCCTTTCCCTCTCACCAAGCCAGAAAATCAGGTCTTGTACTCCTAGATGATGTGTAGCCTCTAACCACATTCTGCCTTGTACTATGAATATTTGTGTATACGTCAGCAAGCCCAGTAGATTACGCACACCATTCAGGCAGGGACCTCTCCCTACATCTCATAGGAAGTAGTTATTCAATAACCTGGTACCAGAGTCTATCAAAACCCATGTATTGATTTTCACTTTTATCTGTTTCATAGTACTGATCACGTTACTAAGAAATAATATTATGCTTCTGTGAAGACAAGTGTGGTCAGGGTGGAGTCACCTTCTTCCCTGAGGATAAGGGGTGCCTCTCCTAGCTGTATGCCAAAATAGATGTTCTGGCTTTAACTTTATGGTTGGGAGTGATCAAAACCACAGACTTAGACTTGGGAGTTAACTTTTTTTTCTTTATCATGCTCAGTCTATCACATAATAAATCCTGTTCCTTTTTTACAAAAAAAATTTTTTTTCTGAGACAGAGTGCCACTCACTCTGTTGCTCATGCTGGATTACAGTGGGATGATCTCAGCTCACTGCAACCTCTGCCTCCCGGGTTCAAGTAATTCTGCCTCAGCCTCCCGAGTAGCTAGGCTTACAGGGGTGCACCACCACACCTGGCTAATTTTTGTATTTTTAGTAGAGACAGGGTTTCACCACGTTGGCCAGGCTGTTCTTGAACACCTGATGTCAAGTAATCTGCTCATCTCAGCCTTCCAAAGTGCTGGGATTACAGGCATAAGCAACCGTGCCCAGCCTGCAGACATATCTTGTATATTTTTTTCCTTTGATCCAGAATTGATTTTTATGTAAGAACTGACAGCATTTATACCCACACCTATGTTGGAAGTATATTTCTACCAAATAATATCTTAAAGCATTCATCAGCATTTTCTTAACTTGCCTTAAAGAGTTAAAAAAAAAAAAAACTATGATAGTTTTACATAATTAAGTTTAGCTGAATTGTTTGTTGCTTGTGTGTCTTTTTCTTCTTAGAGAAGGGGCTGGCAATGTTTGGTGAATCTGCCAGTTACATACTGGAAACCAGATAGACAAATAGGTATCATATATTATTTGATACATTCCAATTTATTGCAAAGTGCATGTGTCCAGGAAGAAGAGAAAACATTAAAAACACTAAACAGTAACATTTATTGCTTAGTTATTCTGCACCAGGGTCTTTTCTTCTTTATCTTATTTATTTCTTATAAGACTACTGCAAAGTAGATGCCATTATGATGGATGAGAAACCCAAGGGAAACCTTTCACTAAGGGATGAGGCCAACATTTCCACCTAGAATTATCTGTCTCTAACCCGGAGCTCCCTACCATTAAAGGGCATACTATGCCTTCCTTCATGGGCATTAAAACATATTAACAAAACTAGTATTATTTTCAGACAAAGATTTTGTTGGAAGAATAAATATTGCATGTGGAACAGTAGTAGCGTGGTGTTTTAGAATTTCCCCTTGCTTATTCTGTATCACAGGACTTTTTTTTTAAGAACATCTTGGTCTGGCATCTAGGCTGGAGTGCAGTGATGTGATCATAGCTCACTGTAGCCTCCAACTCCTGGGCTTAAGCAGTCCTGCTTCAACCTCTGAAGTAACTAGGACTACAGGTATGTGCCACTATGCCCAGCTAATTTTAATTTTTTTTGTGTAGAGAACAGGAGTCTTGCTATGTTACCCAGGCTGATTTCAAACTCCTGGCCTCAAGCTATCCTCCTAGAGTGCTGGGATTACAGGTGTGAACCACCATGCCTGACCCAGGACTTTTTTTTTGAAACGGAGTTACGCCCTTGTTACCCAGGCTGGAGTGCAATGGTGTGATCTCAGCTCACTGCAACCTCTGCCTCAAGCAATGTTTCTCTCTCAGCCTTCCAGGTCGCTGGGGTTACAGGCATTTGCCACCACTTCTGGCTAATTTTGTATTTTTAGTAGAGATGTTGGTCAGGCTGGTCTCAAACTCCTGACCTCAAGTGATCCACCCACCTCAACCTCCCTAAGTGCTGGGATTACAGGCATGAGTTACCATGCCCAACCTGATCCAGGACTTTTATTGTGAAATGGCAGCCTGATCCAGGGCTGTTATTGTGAAACGGCAGCTTGAGTTGCTGGGTTAAACACCCTCTGAGTTCTACAGTTGTCAAGATTATTGAAAGCAGTACCTGATGAACCATTTGTTCTACCAGATCGGTTATACTCTTCGATTGTCAAGAGCCACAAGTAGTACTTTATTTTTCTTTTACTTCTGGTAGGCTGTGAATTAGCAGTACTTTATATATATATATATATTTTAGTTTTCAAGACTCCTGGATCAGAAACAAAGTGGTACTTTAGTCTATATTTTTCACTCTTCACATAAGGAAACCGTTGACCTACTTGTAATCTCACCTCTTCTGGACAAAGGTTGGAACCCCTTTCCTTTGGTAATTAGTGGGGTAAAATAACCAAATGATCCAGATTAATGGGTAGAGACCAGGTGATAGCAAGGGTATGGCTTTATGTATTCTTTGGCTGAAAGGGATGTTAGGAAAGAGGGTTTGTCTCCTGAACTTTAAGTACATTATACTTCCCCTTGTTAAAAAGCTTTAAAATGAGAATTGTAATAATAGTCAATGCTAATAAATATATGTAAAATGCTCTTAATACTACTGTTAACATACCTAGTATTTTAAATGTATTATCTCCTTAAGTTTATATCAAAACCTCCTGAAGATAGATATTATCCTTATTTTTTAGCTGAAGAAGGTGAAATGGAAAATATTACATAATATGTTCAAGGTAACAAAGTTAGGATTTCCCTGAAGTCTGTCTTAAAGCTCTGCTTTTCCTATTATACTACCCTGAGTCCCCAGCTCTCTCTCCAGCACCAAGTGGCCAGTGCTGCAGAGCTTGGGAAGAGAGAGCAGCCAAAAGAAACTTGGATGTAAGTAGAACCTAATTTGGACCTGGTTCTACTGAGATGCTGATTGTACCTCCCCTGGGATGTAATTCAGAAGAGGCGAACATTTCACTTCAAATGGGACTTTGGAACAGACTTACGTTCAGGGAAAGGCCAATTGATGTTTGCACAGTGGGCTCAGTCATAAAATGGAACTGGAAGGGACCTTAAAGGTCATCTGGTGTAGCCTTCTTTTATAGGAAACCACAGCCCAAAGATATGGGATCATTTGACTAAGGTTACACAATTTGGGGGAGAACCGGTGGAGGAGTGTGGTCTGCAAATTTAGGGTTCTACCACACCGCTGCCAATCCTTGGATGCTGGAGAATCCTCTTTTGTGGCTAATGTTCTGACTTTCTTTATTGCATAGGTATTTCAGTGTCCATAGACAAGATGGAATCAACTCCATTCAGTAGACGGCAGTGGACCTCACAATCATTGAGGGTAACGGCCAAAGAACTTTCTCTTGTCAACAAGAACAAGTCATCAGCTATTGTGGAAATATTCTCCAAGTAAGTGCTGATCCTAGTCCAAAAGGACCATCTGTCTTGACACACATTGCCACCTGTCAGGGAAGTTGGTGAAGGAAGTACATGATGTAAAATGGCTTTATTGGGCTCCTTCTGGATTTTAAACACTATATGAGGCACTGTGGAGAAGGAGGAGGAGGGTAATCAGAAGACACATTCTATGTCATCGAATTTTTGTTTAGTTGGGGATGAAAAAGTTATATACATAAAAAATTATTTTAAAAATATTATGAAATAATTATAAAGCAAAATCTCAGCAAGTCTAAAAGGAATAGGAGTGAGGACTAGATACAGAATAAGAGATAGAATCATAGACAGGAGCTCATCAGGAAGGCTTTCTGGTTGAGATGAATTTTGAGGCAAGTTTTGATTTGGTTGAAGGAAACATTAAGTACACTCTATACCTGCACTTTCCAATGTGGTAGTCACTATATAGGTGGCTATTTCAGTTTAAATTAATTAAAATTAAATAACACTTAAAATTCAGTTTTAAATGTTTACCAGCTACATTTACTACTTTACAAGTGCTCTGTAACTACTACTTGCTGATGACTCTCATATTGAATAGCACAGTGTTTCATCGTTGTGCAAAGTTCGGCTGAAAAGTGCAACCTACACAGGCACACTACATGTAACCCACTGGTTGCTGGTTAGTAAATAAAGCTTTATTAGATCACACCTGGCCTGGTGTGGTGGCTCACACCTATAATCCCAGAACTTTGGGAGGCCAAGGTGGGTGGATCACTTGAGGTCAGGAGTTCAAGACCAGGCTGGCCAACATGGTGAAACCCCGTCTCTACACCATGCCACCGGACATAGTAACATAGGCCTGTAGTCCCAGCTACTCAGGGGGCTGAGGCAGGAGAATCACTTGAACCCAGGAGGCAGAGGTTGCATTGAGCTGAAATCACACCACTGCGCTCCAGCCTGGGTGACAGAGTGAGACTTCATCTCAAAAAAAAAAACACACATACACACCCTGGCCAGGCGCTGTGGCTCACACCTGTGATCCCAGCCCTTTGTGAGGCCAAGGTGGGTAGATCACTTGAGGTCAGGAGATCAAGACCAGCCTGGCCAACATAGCGAAACCCCATCTCTACACCATGCCACTGGACATGGTAGTACATGCCTGTAGTCCCAGCTACTCAGGAGGCTGAGATGGAGAATCACTTGAACCCAGGAGGCGGAGGTTGCAGTGAGCTGAAATCGCACTGCTGTGCTCCAGCCTGGGCAACAGAGCGAGCTCTGTATAAAACAAAAAAAAACAAAAAAAAAAGACTCAGGGCTGGGCGCGATGGCTCATGCCTGTAATCCCAGCATTTGGGAGACCGAGGCGGATGGATGACGAGTTCAAGAGATCGAGACCATCCTGGTCAACATGGTGAAACCTTGTCTCTATTAAAAATACAAAAAATTAGCCGGGCATGGTGGCATGTGCCTGTAATCCCAGCTACTTGGGAGGCTAAGGCAGGAGAATTGCCTGAACCCATTGCATTCCAGCCTGGGTAACAAGAGCGAAACTCCGTCTCAAAAAAAAAAAGACTCTGTCTCAAAAAAACAAAAACAAAACCCACACCCTGGCCAGGTGCCACCGGTGGCTCACGCCTGTGATCCCACTACTTTGGGAGGCCAAGGCAGATGGATCACCTGAGGTCAAGAGTTCAAGACCAGCCTAGCCAACATGGTGAAACCCCATCTCTACTAAAAATACAAAAACTAGCTGGGTGTGGCGGTGGGCACCTGTAATCCCAGACATTCAGGAGGCTGAGGCAGGAGGATCACTTGAACCTGGGAGGCAGAGGTAGCAGTGAGCCGAGATCACACCACTACACTCCAGCCTTGGTGACACAGCAAGACACTGTTCCTCTCCCCCCAAAAAAGAAAACACCCATAATACATCCATGGCCATTTGTGTATTCACTATGGCTGCATTTGTCCTATTAGCAGAGTCACATAGTTGCAGTAGAGACCATAACACCCTCAACGTCTAAAATATTTTCCATCTGCCCCTTTAAGGAAAAGTTTGCTGACCCCTGATCTGAACCATGAGTTCTATAATATGAGGGCCACTTTCCTGCTTATATTATGTCCCCGATGTGCAGTACAGTGACTGGAATATAGTAGGCACTCAACAAATGCTCAAGGAATGATATATGTAAATAGTATACCAGAGATGGTAAACACATCAGCTTCACTCAACTAGAGATGCCATCGTGGGGAGGAGACTAGGGTAGGTGGTAGGATTGCCTCACTAGTAGAGTTTGTTAATTGGAAGCTACTGCCCATTTATGAGAAGAAAGATGTTAAAGATTTGAAAAAAGGGATGCTGGGAAGTGTATCTAGAATTCAGGGAATACCAATAGGAGGTTTCTGTATCTATGATGTCACTTTTTCTTCAGTAATAAACTCATTAAGCACCTGCAGTATGGGAAACACAGCCCTTCCAATGAGTAGAGGTGGGGTAAGACTGCAAAGCCCTTTTACCTTATACATTATTTGTTTTATATTGCTGTAATTTTATGTTAAACATGTTGTTTTTTTTTTTTTTAAGATGGGGTTTCACCCTGATGGCCAGCCTGGTCTTGAACTCCTGACCTCAGGTGATCCACCCACCTCTGCCTCCCAAAGTGCTAGGATTACAGGCATGAGCCACCATGCCCAGCCTTATTTATTTATTTATTTATTTATTTATTTTGAGACAGAGTCTTGCCCTGTCATCCAGGCTGGAATGCAGTGGTGCGATCTTGGCTCACTGCAGCCTCTGCCTCCCAGGTTCAAGCAATTCTCCTGCTTTAGCCTCTCAAATAGCTAGGATTACAGGCAGGCATCACCACACCTGGCTAATATTTGTATTTTTAGTAGAGACGGGGTTTCACCATGTTAGCCAGACTGGTTTTGAACTCCTGACCTCAGGTGATCTACCCACCTCAGCCTCCCAGAGTGCTGGAATTATAGGCATGAGCCACCATGCCTGGCAAACATGTATTATTCTTACCAAGAAAAGAAAATAGGCTGGGTGCAGTGGCTTATGCCTGTAATCCCATCACTTTGGAAGGCTGAAGTGGGAGGATCGCCTGAACCTGGGAGTTCGAGGATACAGTGAGCCATGATCATGCAACTGTACTCCAGCCTGGGTGATAAGAGTGAGACCCTGTTTCCCCTCCTTCCCCTGCCAAAAGAGAAGAAACTCAATAAAGATAGATAGTTCATTAAAAAGAGACAAAAAGGCCAGGCGCAGTGGCTTACACCTGTTATCCAAGCACTTTGGGAGGCTGAGGCAGGCGGATAACCTGAGGTCAGGAGTTTGAGACCAGCCTGACCAACATGGTAAAACCCTGTCTCTACTAAAAATACCAAAATTAGCTGGTTGTGGTGGCACGCCCCTGTAATCCTAGCACTTTGGGAGGTCGAGGCAAGAGAATCACATGAACCCCGGGGGCGGAGGTTTCAGTGACCCAAGATCACGCCACTGCACTCCAGCCTGAGCAACCGAGCGAGACTCCATCTCAAAAAAAAAAAAGAGAGAGAAAGCTAGAAAGCTATTAAGACTTAATCCCTGACCTCAAGGAATTTAACAATAGAGTTTAGGTCCCCAAACTTTCCTATCTTAAGAATCACCTAGGGTACTTCTTGCCTGTAGTCCTAGCTACTTGGGAGGCTAAGGCCAGAGGATTGCTTGATGTCAGGAGTTTGAGGCTATAGTGTACTGTGATTGCCTGTGAATAGTCACTTCACTCCAGCCTGGGCAACATATCTCTGAAAACAAACTCCAAAATTTAGTGGCTTTAAATAATGACAGCATTTATTTTGCTTGTAAATCTCCAGTTTGGGCAGGATCTCTGCTGTACTCAGCATCAGCCAGGGTGGCCCAAAGGCTGGGGGCCATAATCATCAGAAGGCTGGCTCATTCACAAGTCAGGTGGTCGATGTTGTCATCTGAGATCTCAGCTGGGGCCAGGGTAGAAACACCTACACATGGCCATTCCATGTGGTTGTTTGGCTTGTTGGCTCAGTTCCCAGGGCAAGCATCCAGAGATGGAGGGAAGGAGGGAGCAAAAGAGGGAGTTCAAAGTTGTGTTGCCTTTTATGACCTAGCCTCGGAAGTCATACAGTATCACTTTTGCCACATTCACTTCATTAGAAGTGAGTCACTAAAGCTGACTCATTTTGGGGAGGGCAATTTGACTCTACTTTCTGATAGGAATGTCAGAGGTTTTTTGGACATTTTAAATTTTTTAAAATAAAATATATATATGTATATATTGAGACAGGGTTTCACTCTGTCGCCCAGGCTGGAGTTCAGTGATGTGACCACGGCTCACTGCAGCCTCAAACTCCTGATCTCAAGTGATTCTCCCATCCAAGCCTTCCAAGTAGCTGGGACTACAGGTATGCACCACTGTGCCCAACCTGGACATGTTTTAAAACCATCCTATATTCTGATTCGATCTGTGTGGGATAGAGTCCAGGAAATTATGTTTTAACAAGTATCCTAGGTAATTTTTATCTTCAGGGAAGTTTAAGAAGCACTGATAGATATGGACTTGTGAAGTCAAAGCAGTGAACTTGAACATGAAGCAGAATGAATCAAGTTTAAGATAGGAGATTGAAGCAAAGGATTATGGAAGCTGAACATGAATAAAGGGAACAGGAAAGCAAGCAGTCTGGCATGGAAAAATACAGACCAGAGAAGGAACTGGTGTAGTTCATTTAGGGCCAGATGGAAGACCTCAAATGCTCTGTTAAGATTAGGATTTAGTAAGAAAACCAGTGAACACAAATGGTTTTCATGTGGGGAGAGCGACATGATGACATGATCAGACTTGTATTTTAGAAAAGTGCTTCTGGCAACTGCGTAAAGGCTATATTAGAAAGGTGAGAGATTGGTAACATGGAGACAATTTCTGAGGCTCTCTTGGGAACCCAAGTGAAAGCTGTTAAGGTCAAGGGAGAACAGGAATAGAGAGAAAAGGAAGGCTATC